ATATCATTGTATATTCATGTATATACCCTTGTATATTTATATATTCTTGTACATCTGTATATCTTTGTACATTCTTGTATATCTGTATATCCTTGCATGCCTGTATATACTTGTATTATCTGTATATTCTTTTGTTTTTGTTTTTGTCGGTTGTGGGCCTGAACTCTGGGCCTGAGTGCTGTCCCTCAGCTTTTCAGCTCAAGGCAAGCGCTCTACCACTTGAGCCACAGAGCCACTTCTGGCTTATTCTGCTTATGTGGTGCCGAGGAATCGAACCCAGGGCCTCATGCATGCAAGGCAAGCGCTCTACCACTGAGCCACCTTCCCAGCCCTATATCTGTATAATCTGATCTATCTGTATACCCTTGTATATTCTCATGTATCTGATTGTCCTTGTAGATCTGTATTGTGCATGAAGGTGGGCCAGGGGCCCCCTGTTCACATCAAGCCAGTATCAGCATGTATGAGGGGGTATGACTGCCCCACCTCACATGCACACACCCTCTCCTCGTGTCACCTTCCTCTCCTTCAGAGGGTTCCAGACCTTGGTTCACCTGGTAAAAGGCAACATGGGTACGGGGATCCTGGGCCTGCCGCTGGCTGTGAAGAATGCAGGGATTCTGGTAAGAGGCATGGCTGACCAACCTGTAGGCAGTGGGGAAAGGCTCTGATCCTTTACAACAGACTCTAATATAACACACAGTCTAGCCAGGCGCCCGTGGCTCACACCTATAATCCTAGCTACTCAGGAGGCCGAGATCTGAGGATAGCGGTTCAAAGCCAGCCCAGGCAGAAAAGTCCCTGCGAGATTCTTATCTCTAATTAACTACTCAAAAACCAGAAGCGCGGTTCAAGTGGTAGAGCACTAGCCTTGAGCACAAAAAGGCTCGGGAACAGCACCCAGGCCCTGAGTTCAAGCCCCACCACTGACTAAAAACAAAAAAAAACAAAAACAGAAGCAGTCTTTCTGGGAGATGGCTGGTCCAGAGGTGGAGTAAATTCTTCCTGAGTTCTGACTTTGCTAGAGAAATTAGTAGTCTCGTGTGTATGTGTGTGTGTGTGTGTGTGTGTGTGTGTGTGTGTGTTTGTGTGTGTACATGCACATACATGCACGAGCCAGTACTGGGGCTTGAACTCAGGTCCTCATGGTTTCACTTGGCTTTTTCCATCCAAGTTGGTGCTCTACCACTTAAGCCATATCTCCACTTCTTTTGCTTTTTGTTTGTTTGTTTCTTTTTGCCAGTCCTGGGTCTTGAACTCAGGGCCTGGGCACTGTCCCTGAGCTTCTGTTGCTCAAGGCTAGTGCTCTACCACTTGAGTAACAGCACCACTTCCAGTTTTCTAGTGGTTTATTGGAGATAAGCGTCTCACGGACTTTCCTGCCCAGGCTGGCTTTGAACCGCAATCCTCAGATCTCAGTCTCCTGAGTAGCTAGGATGACAGCTACTGTTGCCTGGCTTCTTCTAGAGAGTCTATTTGGGGAAAAAAAATGAAATAAATAAGTCAATCAATAAAACAAAACCCCTCACGGTTGCAGCTAGCAGTAGCCAGCAAATACACTTGCTAGGAAGTGTATGGTCCTTCCTTGCCACGCTGGTCACTGCTTCACAGTCTCCTCTCTGGCTTGTCCCCTGCTTCGCCCTCCTGCAGCTGGGCCCGCTCAGTTTGCTGGTGATGGGGTTCGTGGCCTGCCACTGTATGCACATCCTGGTCACCTGTGCCCGCCATTTCTGTCACAGGTAAGGAAACCTGGCTTGCCGGAGTATGTGAGTTCTTGGGATCATCCCAGAAGTGTACTGCGGTGGGGGGAATAGGAATGTACATCCTCATTTTGTTCCAAGAAAGCTAAGAAAAAAAAGGGGGATGGGGAGAGAGATTTCAGGTGACACTAATCCCCAGGAAATCTCTGTCCTGTGGCTTACTACACCGTCTCTCAATCAGGGCATAGTACTTATTATTTTTTTTTCTGGTCCTGGGGCTTGAACTCAGGGCCTAGGCACTGTCCCTGAGCTTCTCTGTGTTCAAGGCTAGCACTCTACCACTTGAGCCACAGCACCACTTCTGGCTTTTTCTGCGTATGTGATACTAAGGAATCGAACCCAGGGCTTCATGCATGCTAGGCAAGCACTCTACCACTAAGCCACATTCCCAGCCCCCATGGTATTATCTTGTTGGCTCATCTATAAAATAGAATGGGGGAAAAAGAAATCCTTACCTTATTGTATCTCAGTTAATGTCTGGATCATCCAATGAGACCAATGCATGCGGAAGGCACCTCACCTATCCAAGGTGAACATTACTCTTTTTTTTTTTTGGTACCATTCCTGGGGCTTGAACTCAGGGCCTGGGCACTGTCCTGAGCACTCCTAATCAAGGCTGTAACACCACTTGAGCTACAGCTCCAGGTCCAGCTTTTTGGTGCTTAACTGGAAATAAAAGTCTCACGGGCTTTCCTGCCCCTGCTGGCTTTGAACTGTGCTCCTCAAACCTCAGCCCTCTGAGTAGCTAGTATGATAGGTGTAAGAGTCACTAACATCTGGCATTACTCTAGCTAGGTAGTATCTGAGTCTCTCAGCAGATAAGGAAAGCAAAACACCATGGGATTATTCCCTGGGTGGCTTTGGAACATGCAGTCAAACTGAGGCCTGTGTCTCTTAAGTTCTTTCTACTCGCTGGCTATGTGTTCTTGCTCTATATCTCCTGATTTATTATTATTATTATTATCATCATCATCATCATTTTTTTATTATGGGATCTTAACTCAACTCCTCCTTATAACTCTGTACGTGCTTTCTCCTGCAGGTTTAACAAACCCTTTATGGATTATGGTGACACTGTGATGCATGGACTAGAAGCCAGTCCCAGCGCCTGGCTCCAAAGCCACGCCCACTGGGGGAGGTACCTTGTTCTTGCTTTGTGAGATATGGGATAAGAAAACACCAGTTGTGGGTGGTGGCTATTCAGGAAGCTGAGATCTGAGGATCACAGTCGAATCCAGCCCAGGCAGGAAAGTCCAGGAGATGCCTATCTCCAGTTAATCACCGAAAAAGCCAGAAGTGGAGCTGTGGTTCAAGAGGTAGAGCATTAGCCTTTCGCAAAAAAGCTCAAGGACAGCACCCAGGCCCTGAGTTCATTCCCCAGGACTGGCACACACACACACACACACACACAATTTTATAAGCAAAGATTACAAGGCCTTTTGGCATCCTGTGAAATATATTCTGAGTTATTATCTTCAACAGATAAATACTCATAAAATAGCTCCTTAAGGCAGGCCCCAGTGGCTCATGCCTGTAATCCTAGCTCTCCAGGAGGCTGAGATTGAGAGGATCATGGTGCAGAGCCACTCTGAGAAGAAAAATCCAAGCCACTCCATCTCTACTTAACCAACCAGCCAACAAAAAGCTGAACTGGAGGCGTGGTTCGAGGGGTAGAGCACCAGCCCTGAGCAAGAAAGAAAGACAAAGCCAGTCTTGGCTTAATTCTTTCCACCAGGGTCCCACACACCTTCAACCTTTCAGCAGAAGTGGGTAACAATCCGGTCACCCCTGCCCCAGTGGGCTCTGGACAGCATCCTACTCCAATTTCCCTCCTCCCATTCCGGCCTGTTCTTTTGCATTTGCTGTGGGCTGCTTTGTCTGGTAAATGCTGGAGTTGTGCGGAGCTTGGAACACAGCCTCCTTGTCTGCCTGCCCACACTGCCCCCTTTCCGACCTCGATCCGCATTCTTCAGCCTTTATCTGTTCTTGGCAGCTCAGCCCTGCAGATCCTCATAGGGAGCCGCCATCTTGATGGCTCCAATGGGAAACCCAACACCGCACCTCAGATACTGCATCTGTCCCTCCTTCCTTCACCTCTCCCCCTGTAACCCTGATCTACCTGGGGATCTCTCATTCCAGAAGAGCCCACTTCACCTAGGCCATCTCCCTACCCTTCTCCCATCGCTGAAGGGGACGCCAAGCATGGAAAATTCTAGTTCCCCTCAGGTCTTTCCCAAGGCTTTCATGCTGGTATCCTAAAAGTCAAAGCTCAGTCTGGAGTCAGGCACCAGTGGTGCCTGTAATCCTAGCTACTCAGGAGGCTGAGATCTGAGGATCATGGTTCAAAGCCAGCCAGGGCAGAAAAGTCAGTGAGACTCTTATCTCTAATTAGCCACCAGAAAAACAGGAAGTGGTGCTGTGGCTCAAGTGGTAGAGCACTCGCCTTGGGCTGAAGAGCTGAGGGACAGTGCCCAGGCCCAGAGTTCAAGCCCCAGGACCGACAGAAGAAAAAAAAACAAAAAAACTCTGTCTGGGCTGATGCCATCTTTCAGCTCCATTAGTGCAAAAATAAATCTCCCATTTATATAATATAGATAGATAGATAGATATAGTGTGTGTGTGTGTGTGTGTGTGTGTGTGTGTGTCTGTGTGTGTCTGTGTGTGTCTGTGTGTGTGTGTACCAGTCCTGGGGTTGAACTCAGGGCCTGGGCTCAGTCCCTGAGTTTCTTTTGCTCACTCTACCACTTGAACCACAGCTCTGCTTCTACTTTTTTTTTGCTGGTTAATTGGAGAGAAGAATCTCACAGACTTTCCTGCTCAGGCTGGCTTTGAACTGTAACCTTCAGATCTCAGACTCCTGAATAGCTAGTATTACAGGCCCAAGCCACCAATACCTAGCTGGCTTGCTTTGCTTGCTTTTTTTCTTCCTCTTCCTCCTTCTCCTCCTCCTCCACCTCTTCCTCTTCTACTCCTCCTTCACTTCCTCCATCTCCTCCTTCTCCTCCTCCTTCTTGTTCTTCTCCTTCTTTCCTTTGTGACAGTCCTGGGGCACTCTCCCTTAGCTTTTTTGCTCAAGGTTAGCACTCTACCACTGGAGCCACAGCTCCAGTTTTCTGAGTAGTTTGTTGGAGATGAAGGTCTCACAGACTTTCCCCGCTTGGGCTGGCTTCAAACTGCAATCCTCAAATCTCAGCCTCCTGAGTAGCTAAGATGACAGGCCTGAGCCACAGTGCCCGGCTCCCCCTCACTTTTGATCTGGTCCCTGCCTCCCTCAAAGTGTGAGAAATGCACACAGCCTGTGATGGTGACATCAGACCAAGCAATGTGTGAAGAAGGCTACCAGCTTTCTCTAACCAAACACATGCAGAATGAATAGATCTGATTTAACTGGTAGAACCCTGCCCCATACAGACATTCACTTTATATCTGTCTCTACATCCTTAAAGAGAAAGTCATTTTGTTACATTGTATAATTGTTAACAAATGTACATATATATTTAAGGGCCGGCACGTGGAAGGGCTAGGTGCTTGTGGCTCACGCCTGTCATCCTAGCTACTCAGAAGACTGAGATCTGAGGATCAAAGTTCAAAGACAGCCTGGGCAGGAAAGTCCGTGAGACTTTTTTTTATTATTATTATTGTGAAAATACTGTACAGAGGGGTTACAATTACATGGGCAAGATAATGATTATTTCTTTGTTGCTTTGTATGTCCCTCCCCCACAGTATAACCCCTGCTTTCACTGTATTTGATGTCGGTATAATTTGTGGAGAAGGGGAAAAACAAATCGTTTAAATAGGGATACAGGTGGACCCATTGCAACAATGAGATGTACAAGTCGTTATACCGTGAGACTTTTATCTTCAATGAACCACCAGAAAACTGGAAGTAGAGCTGTGACTCAAAGTGGTAGAGCACTAGCCTTGAGCAAAAGAGCTCAGGGACAGTACCAGTCCCTTAGTTCAAGCCCTACAAACAAAAAACAAAAATATACACGTACATGTATATGTATATGTATATATTTGTATATATATATATAATTTTTTTCAAGTATAAGGTTCTGAATTTCATGCTTGTTTACCTTGCTTGCTTAGCTGGAGTTTTTTTTTTTGTTTTTGTTTTTTGCCAGTCCTGAGGCTTGAACTCAGGGCCTGGGCACTATCCCTGAGCTTCTTTTGCTCAAGGCTGGCACTCTACCACTTGAGCCACAGCACCACTTCTGGCTTTTTCTGTGTATGTGGTACTGAGGAATGGAACCCAGGGCTTCACGCATGCTAGGCAAGCACTCTGCTAGGCAAGCACTCTACCACTGAGCCACCTTCCCAGCCTGAGCTGTCATTCTTCTGCTTGAGCCCCACCTCCAGGCCCTAGCCAGCTCTGCTTCTCTTGCTGGTTATTTTAATGATGGAGTCTTACAAACGTTTCCAACCCAGGCTATCTCAGAATCGCGATCCTCTGGATGCCAGCCTCCTGAAATGTGTTATAAACATGAGTCACCAGTGCCAGGGCTTGAGCACATATGAATTTTACCCAACAATGGGCTTCATTATGACATGTCCTTTTCACCATGGCTTTTAGGACCAAATGACACTCTGATTTCTGTCCATCTTGCCAAACTGCCAGAGGAAGGGACTGTGTATTAGCAGACTGTAAGTCCTCAGAGCCTAACAAAACAAACAAACAAAACCCTGCTCTGGCCAGGCACTAGTTGCTCATGCTTGTAATCCTGGCTACTCAGGAGGCTGAGCTCTGAGGATCGCAGTTTGCAGCCAACCCCTGCAGGAAAATGCATGAGATTCATTCAGGCCCTGAGTTCAAGCCCCACAACCAACAATAACAACAACAACAACAAAATTTCTGAATGTTGGTGGGAGCTGATGAACACACACTATTCCTGTCCCTCATCAGAGAATAACAGGAAAAAACTTGTTGCTCAACAAGACATGGAAGACTCCAGAACCCAAGACAGGGGTGTTAGAAAAGCACATTTTTGTGTGGGTCTGCCTATCCTGGGGCTTGAACTCAGGGCCTGGGCTCTGTCCCTGAGGCTTTGTGTTCAAGACTAGTGCTCTACCACTGGAGGTACAGCTCCACTTCCTGCTTTGGTTCATTGGAGATAAGAGTCTCACAGACTTTCCTGCTGGGAGCTGGCTTCAAAACACGATCCTCAAATCTCAGCCTCCCGAGTAGCTAGGATGCCAAATGTGAGCTGCCAGTATGCAACTCAAAAAGCACATTGTTTTTTTAGAACTATTGTGACCTCAATTCTTACTTGAACCATTGTTGACTGTGGAGCAAGGACCCCAGATCCCAGGGTCATATTGCCAGACACCCTATACCAGGAGAACAGAGGGGGGACGTCAATCCTGAATTAGTCTTTCCTTTCCTTTCCTTTCCTTTCCTTTCCTTTCCTTTCCTTTCCTTTCCTTTCCTTTCCTTTCCTTTCCTTTCCTTTCCTTCCTTCCTTCCTTCCTTCCTTTCTTCCTTCCTTCCTTCCTTCCTTCTCTCTCCTTCTTTCTTTCTTTCTTTCTGTCAGTCATTGGGCTTGAACTCACAGCCTGGGCACTGTCCCTAAGCTCTTTTTTGCTCAAGGCTAGCACACTACCACTTTGAGCCACGGCTCCACCTCTGGTTTTCAGGTGGCTTATTGGAGATAAGAGTCTCACGGATTGTCCTGCCTGGGCTGGCTTCCAACTGTGATCCTCAGATCTCAGCCTCCTGAGTAGCTAGGATGACAGGCGTGAACTACCAGTACCTTTTATAACAAAGTTCTTTCTCCCTGCCCCTCCTCCTTTCCCTGGCTCTCTTCTAGGAACTTGGTGAGCTTCTTTCTGATTGTCACTCAGCTGGGCTTTTGCTGTGTGTACATTGTGTTTCTGGCTGACAATTTAAAGCAGGTATGACCTCCTGGAGAAGGTTGGAGGGGAAGTCAGGGAGAAGTCGGTTCCTCTCTTAGTTTCTGCCTAACTCCATGTCTCTGAGACCAAGGAAGAAAAGCCAGATATTACCCATCAGCACAGATGTGCAAGTGGCCCTGTCATGATTTTTGCCATGATAACCGTTTGCCCAGTAAGCCAGCACCAGTGGCTCACGCCTAAAATCCTAGCTACTCAGGAGGCTGAGATCGGGGAGGATTGTGGTTCAAAATCAGTCTGGGCAGAAAAAGGCTTCCATATTCCATCTCCAATTAACAAACAAGAAGCTGGACCTGGAGATGTGGTTCAATTAGTAGAGCACCGGCCATGAGCAAGAAAGGTAAAAGAGAGCTTGAAGTTGTGAGTTCAAGCCCGCATGTATGGAAAAACAAAACAAAACAAAAAACAGGTTTTCTGACATCAGTCCTCAAGTTCTTGTTTTGTTTTGTTGTTGTTTGCAAGTCCTGGGACTTGAACTCAGGGCCTGGGCACTGTCCCTAAGCTTCTTTTGCTCAAGGCTAGCACTCTACCACTTGAGCCACAGCGCCACTTCTGGCTTTTTTCTGTGTATGTGGTACTGAGGAATGGAACCCAGGGCTTCATGCATGCGAGGCAAGCTCTCTACCACTAAGCCACCTTCCCAGCCCAGTCTTCAAGTTCTTAAACACTGTGACATTTCGTTTCCAAACAAAAAAAATTGTGTGTGTGCAGTGTGTGCACACGTGCGTGCACGCTGGTCCTGGGCTTGGTGTCCCTGAGCTTTTTTGCTCAATGCTAGCACTTTACCAGTTGAACCACAGCGCCACTTGAAGCTAGAGTGGTAGTTCACTGGCGTTAATAGAATGGAAGGGTATTTAGTTTACTCGGGAAATGACAGAGAAAAATTGGGCTCTGGTGGCTCACGCCTGTCATCCTAGCTATTCAGGAGGCTGAGAGCTGAGGATCACAGTTCAAAGTCAGACCCTGTAGGAAAGTCCATGAAACTCTGATCTTCAAGGAACCATCAGAAAGCCAGAAGTGGTGCTGTGAAAACCGGAAGTGAAGCTGTGGCTCCAAACGGTAGAGAGCTAGCCTTGAGTAGAGGAGGCTCAGGGACACTGCCCAGGCTCTGACTTCAAGGCCCACGACCAACAAAAGTAGAATAAAATAAAATAAAAATGGCAGAGAGAGCTCAAAGGCAGATCTCAGATCAGGGAGCAGAGCTGGGTGAAGGGTATCATTTCTCTGGAAGGGACTTTGAGCTCCCCGAGTGCTCATACAATTTCTTTCTCCCTCGTGCCTTAATTTCCAATGCTTCTGCAGGTAGTAGAGGCCATGAACAGCACCACCAATGACTGTGGCTACAATGAGACGGTGATCCTCAGCCCCTCCATGGACTCGCGGCTCTACATGCTCTCCTTCCTGCCCTTCCTGGTGCTGCTGGTTTTCATCCGAAACCTCCGGGCCCTCACCATCTTCTCCCTGCTGGCCAACGTCAGCATGCTGGTCAGCTTGGTGATCATCACCCAGTATATTGCCCAGGTCAGTACCTACCATCAAGGCCCGGCTATAAGTCTGAATTCAGGGTCTGGGCGCTGTCCCTGCCTGAACTTTTTGAACTCAAGGTGGGTGCTCTACCATTTGAACCACAGCTCTACTTTCGGCTTCTTTTGGCTAGTTCATTGGAGATAAGAGTCTCCTGGGTTTTCCACCTCAGCCTCCTGAGTAGCTGGGATTACAGGCATGAGCCACCAGCCTGGGGCTACACCACCTCTCCTAGAGGAGCTTGAATGGGCTTCTTTTTTGTTGGTGGTGGGGCTTGAACTCTGGACCGGGGTGCTGTCCCTGAGCTCTTCAGCTCAAGGTTACTGCTCTACCACTTGAGCCACAGCGCCACTTCTGGTTTTCTGGTGGTTTATTGGAGATAAGAGTCTCAAGGACTTTCCTGTCCTGGCTGGCTTTGAACTGTGGTCCTCAGATCTCAGCTTCCTGAGTAGCTAGGATGACAGGTGTGAGCCACCGATGCCCCGCTTAAATGGGTATTTTGAGTGACTACATCATTGTGTTTCTCCTTTAGAGGATTCCAGATCCCAGACCACTGCCCCTGGCAGCCAGCTGGCAAACCTACCCTCTCTTCTTTGGAACGGCCATTTTTTCCTTCGAAAGCATCGGTGTGGTAAGGCTTGGCATGGGAAGTTGGGCTTCTCCTGCCTTGTGGGGGAAGAGAGATAAACTCTGAGCTTCTGGGGTCCCCTTAGACATGATCGTGGCCCTGTTAGAGAAGTACCGGTACTGGGGCTTGAACTCAAGAGCTTCATGTTCTTGCTTAGCATTTTTTTTGCTCAAGGCTGGTACTCTACCACTTGAGCCACACCTCCACTTGTGGTTTTTTGGTGGTTCATTGGAGATAAGAATCTCACAGACTTTCCTGCCCTGACTGGCTTGGAACTATGATCCTCAGATCTTAGCCTTCCTGAGTACTAGGATGACAGGCCTGAGCCACCGGCGCCCAGCAGAATTTCCTTTTTTAAGGCTTAGTACTATTCCAAGTCCATCTCCTTGATGGACCTCGGGTGGCCTCTCCCCATTGGTGGGGGTGAGCAGTCAAATTCTTCAGTTCTGAGGTGATATGGTGTTTCCTTTGTGTTCATGAGTGTCTCTCCTTGCTACTGGGCTCTTCCTGTAGGTTCTTCCTCTGGAAAACAAGATGGCGGATGCTCGTCGCTTCCCAGCCATCTTGTCTCTGGGACTGTCCATTGTGACCGCCCTCTACATCGGCATCGGGGCTCTGGGCTACCTACGCTTTGGAGAAGAAATCAAGGCCAGCATCACCCTTAACCTGCCCAACTGCTGGTACCCGTCTGGGCTTCCTGGGTGGCAGGGATGGTTGGGCACACCCCTGGAAACCAAGGCCTAAGACCCTCCCGAAGGCCGAAGGTGCCACTGGAACCTCAGTTCCAGATCCTTCTTCAGTGATAGCCTCCCAAGTTGAATTAGGACTTGATCATCTTTTTTTCCCTGATGCTCATCTTGGGGCTGTCCCTGAGCTTTTCCACTCAAGACTAGTACTCTACCACTTGAGCCACACCTCCTCTTCTGGCTTTTTTGCTGGTTCATTGGAGAGAAGAGTCTCAGAGACTCTCCTGTCCCGATGGGCTTTGAACTGTGATCCTCCTATCGCAGCCTCCTGAGTAGCTGGGTTTACAGGCATGAGCCACCAGCACCTAGCTTAGGACTTGAAGAAGGACATGATTTAAGAAGACAGGACATGGGGCTGGGAAAGGTGGCTCAGTGGTAGAGCGCTTGCCTTGCATGCATGAGGCCCTGGGTTCGATTCCTCAGCACCACATAAACAGAAAAAGCTGGAAGTGGCGCTGTGGCTCAAGTGGTAGAGTGCTAGCCTTGAACTGAAGAGCTGGGGGACAGCGCCCAGGCCCAGAGTTCAGGCCCCAGGACCAACAAAAAAAATGAAGAAGAAGACAGGACAAAAGTGGCAATGCTTGACCACTTAAGGGGAGAAGAGGGGGAGCACTGGATGAAGACAAGGGTCAGAGAGCCATCTGTGGGTGTCTTTCCACTTCTGGTCCCATGTACTAATGCTGGTGACTGAGTCTACCCGCCACAGCCCCTCAGTCAGGGTGATAAAGATACAACTCCAAAACACAGGCCAACATGAAGCCCATTGGAATCCGCAAACATCTGATGTCTACGCATGCCCAATTCACCCGCCAGTTAGCAGCCACAGACTTCAGACAGCACCATATTTAAATAAACAGGGGAGCTAGGCTCCAGTGGCTCATACCTGTAATCCCGGCCTCTCAGGAGGCTGGAATCTGAGGATCACAGTTCGAACCCAGTCTAGGCAGGAAAGTCCATGAGACTCTTATCTCCAGTAAATCAGTAAAAAGCCAGAAGGAGAGTTCTGGCTCAAGTGATAGAGTACTCTCTTTGAGCAAAAAAAAAGCTCAGGAATAGTGCACTGGCCCTGAGTTCAAGCCCCAGGACTGGCATATTAAAAAAACAAACAAACCTGAGAGTATTCACTTATTCATCTTATTTATTCCCATTTCACCCCAACCTCCCACAATCCCACTTATAATCACAGAACTCCCCAAAAATGTGGGATTATGAGATTTTTCTCCATTCACCAGAAGCCAATGTTGAAGCTATGTTATGCCCCAAGAACTCTGAAGGATCCAGAACATTCCTAAGGACTCATAGAGCTCACTGAGAAATCAAGTCTTTTTTTTTTCTTTTCTTTTTTTTTTTTTTTGGTTAGTCATGGGCTTGAACTCAGGGCCTGGGCGCTGTCCCTGAGCTTTGGTACTCAAGACCAGCACTCTACCACTTTGAGCCACAGCTCCACTTCCAGTTTTTAGGTGGCAAATTGGAGATAAGAGTCTCACAGGGACTTTCCTGCCTGGCCTGGCTTCCAACCGTGATCCTCAGATCTCAGCCTCCTGAGTAGCTAGGATGACAGGTGTGAGCCACTGGAGCCCGGCTAGTAGAGTCTTTTTCAATCCAGGTTTTGGAGTTAATTTATCGGCTGCATTTCCTTTGGTGTGTCCGTGGAGTGATCGGTGGGTGACAAGTTCTCTTACCCTGAACTTCTCTTTCCAAAAATCTGAAATCAAGCATCAAAGGACTTCATTTAGGGCTGGGAATGTGGCTTAGTGGTAGAGTGCTTGCCTAGCATGCACAAAGCCATAGGTTTGATTCCTCAACACCTCATACACAGAAAAGGCTAGAAATGGTGCTGTGGCTCAAGTGGTAGAGTGCTAGCCTTGAGCAAATTCAGGGACAGTGCCCAGGCCCTGAGTGTAAGCCCCAGGACTGGCAACAAACAAAAAATCATTTAGAGATGACCCTTCTAGAAGTTTCCATGAATCATCTCACGCTTCACTCTAGTAATTGTTTGCTTTGGGAGATTTCCTCTTGACCCTTAGGCGCTATGACTCTTCCTCCATCATAGCAAATGGAGAGGAACCCAAAGGCTTGTCCCACATCTGAGGGTCTGTGACCCCCGTGGGGTCAGCGATCAGAGTGGCATGGCTTGGGAAAACATCCATCTTGCAGGCTGTACCAGTGGGTGAAGCTGCTGTACAACGTGGGCATCCTGTGCACCTACGCCCTGCAGTTCTACGTCCCTGTGGAAATCATCATTCCCTTGGCCCTCTCCCGAGTGCCCGAGCGCTGGGCGCTGCCTGTGGATCTGCTGGTCCGCCTTGTTCTGGTCTGCCTGACTTGTGAGTGCAAATCCCAACCCAGAGCATAGGGACATAGCTGGGCGGTGGTGGTGGCTCACGCCTGTAATCCTAGCTACTCAGGAGGCTGAGATCTGAGGATCACGGTTGGAAGCCAGCCCAGGCAGAAAAGTCCCTGTGAGACTCTTATCTCCAATTAACCACTCATTCTCCCCACCCCGAAGAAAAAGCGGAGCTGTGGCTCAAGCAATAAGAAGCTTAGGGATAGCACTCAGATCCTGAGTTCAAGTCCCAGGACTGGTATCGAAAACAAACAACAGCAACAAAGGCAAAGGACATGTTTCAAGGAAGCTAAGTTTATTTGAAGCAAGGAAAGCTGGGAAGGAAAGGAGAGGAATCCTCCATCTGGAGAGAGGGTGAAGGAGAATCCCAGGGAGTTCTTGCCAGGAAGCAGTTATTATATTTTGGACCTTCTCCCCTCCTTCCTCTACCTGGGCTGCTTTGTGCTGATTGCTTGATGGCTTCTGCACACGCCACTCTGGCTCTTTTCATTGGTTGAACAGGCAACCAGGGCATTACATTTGAGCAGGAAGAAGCATTTCAGCAGGAGCCCAAGACAGACATTGAAAATGAAGTCCCCGGGCTGGGAAGGTGGCTTAGTGGTAGACCAGTTGCCTAGCATGCATGAAGCCCTGGGTTCAACTCCTCAGTCCTACATATACAGAAAAAGCTGGGAGTGGCGCTGTGGCTCAAGTAGTAGAGGGCTAGCTTTAAGCAAAGGAAGCTCAGGGACAGTGCCCAGGCCCTGAGTTCTCCACCCCTCCTCCCCCGCAGGCGTGCTGGCCGTGCTCATCCCCCGGCTGGACCTGGTCATCTCTCTGGTGGGCTCGGTGAGCAGCAGCGCCCTGGCCCTCATCATCCCCCCGCTGCTGGAGATCACCACGTTCTGTGCAGAGGGCCTGAGCCCCCTGCTCATCGCCAAGGACGTCCTGATCAGCAGCCTGGGCTTCGTGGGCTTCGTGGTGGGGACTTACCAGGCCCTGGATGAGCTGATTGGATCAAGAGGATCTCTCAGCTTTCCCAACTCCACTATTGTTACTCAATGAGAAGAAGCCAACCCCCAGCTCACACACATTCTTCTCTGTCATGCGCAAGATTTCGGTGTGGTTATTTTACTTGTCTGGGTCAAGTCATGTTTTCAAAACAGACAGGGGCTGGGAAGGTGGCTCCGTGGTAGAGTGCTTGCCTAGCATGCATGAGGCCCTGGGTTCGATTCCTCAGCACCAAATACACAGAAAAAAGCTGGAAATGGTGCTGTGGCTCAAGTGGTAGAGCGCTAGCCTTGAGCACAAAAGAAACTCAGGGACAGTTCAAGCCCCAGGAATGGCAAAAAAAAAAAAAAGATCATAAAAACAAATGAATGAACACGTGAGGAATTTCCTTCTACAAGATGTAAATGGTAATTTTAAAATAAAAAAAACTTTTTGGTCTCTATTCCTTTTTTCCTTCCCATCACATGCTTTCTACCCCCACTTACAGCTCTCCAAGGGAATGATTTCAATTCTACCCCATCTTTTTTTGGGGGGGTGGGGGAGTCTGGTCATGGGGCCTGAACTCTGGGCCTGGGCGCTGTCCCTCAGCTCTTCAGCTCAAAGCTAGCCCTCTACCACTTGAGCCACAGCACCACTTCCTACACACTCTTATATAAGCAAATTACATATGCTCATCTGCATACAGCTATTGATATGCCCGAGGTGGCTTTGAACCAGCAATCCTCAGATCTCAGTCTCCTGAGTAGCTAGGGTTACAGGTGTGAGCCCCTGGTGCCCAGCCTGGGAAATTTGTAATCGAACTCTCTACAGTCTCTTAGTGTGGTAAAAATGACAATTCATTGGATACATTAATTAATTGGATATATTGAGTATGCTTTCCCAAGTGTTTCTAACTCCTCAGTTGCTGGATCTCCAAAGAAATGGCATGGTGGAAGGGAGATATTTTGGATTCCAGTCCTGGCTTGGCCACTGAATTCCTGTGGTATCAAAGGCCATTATTCTGCATTCTGATGAACGTGGATGCGTGGATCTCTAAGGCCACTCCTGCCCTAGATAGTTCCTTACCAGTGTCATAGGAAACTGATTATGACCTCATTTGTCTGATAATCACAGGGGCTGCTGACTGGAAAATCAATAATTGATAGAGTCCCAGAAAAGGAGCTGTAGAAGGGCTGTGAAGGAATGTAGAAAGGATCAGAGGTTCTAAGGCATAAACTCATTTGCATACTAGCAATATTGTATTATTATTATTATTATTGCCAGTTCTGAGTTGGGCACATTTTTTTCCTATCAGTCATGGGGCCTGAACTCGGCCTGGGTGCTGTCCCTCAGCTCTTCAGATTAAGGCTAGCGCTCTACCACTTGAGTCACAGCACCACTTCCGGCTTTTTTTGCTTATGTGGTGTTGAGGAATCAAACCCAGGGCCTCATGCATGCAAGGCAAGCGCTCTACCACTGAGCCACCTTCCCAGCCCTACCCCATCCTTCATATAAAAAAAATTTAATGCCAGTCCCGGGGCTTGAACTCAAGGCCTGGGTGCTATGAGCTTTTTTACTCAAGGCTGGCACTCTGTCAATGTAGCCACAGCTCCACTTTCAGTTTTTTGCTGGTTAATTGGAGATAAGAGTCTCATGGACTTTCCTGCCCTGGCTGGCTTTGAACTATAATCTTCAGATCTGAGCCTCCTGAGTAGCCAGGATTACAATGAAAACCACCAGGGCAAAGCTAGACCCAACTTGTTTGGTCCTTGCCAAAATGAGTTTTGCCATCTAAATGGAGCTATTCCAAAAGCCACCACCAGGGGTCCCCAAGGTACATCATCAAACTGGCAGAGTTGATGCCTGCTAGCTAGGGCTGACATGCTTTGGGAGATCAAATGAACCACCTCCTTCCCCTTTTCTCGACCAGTTCAAAGACTCCTGGGGAGAGAAAACAATAAACAATGTACCACCATGCCAGGTACAACTCCAGCACTGAGACGGATCGGAAGCCAAGATGAGCAATGTTGAATTTCGACTCTCAGAAAAGACCCCTTCATGCTAAAGGGTTGGTACACTTTCCAAATCACTGTATAAAAGTTTTAGCCCAACTCAGAGAATCCTGTGAACTTTTATGCCCAGGATGACTGAAACTATTGTCCCACTATCTCTAACTCCCAAGTAGCTAGGATTATGGAATTGAATATGTGTGCCTGGCTCTGTCTCTGAAATATTGCCACAATATTCTTGATTACTCACTTTGTCCCAAGCCTACAGCAAATTGTGTGTGTGTGTGTGTGTGTGTGTGTGTGTGTGTGCGCGTGCGTGTTAGCACTGCGGTATGAACTCAGGGCTTGGGAATTATCCCTTAGCTTTGTCCATTCAGAGCTGGTGCTCTACCACTTGAGCCACACTCCACTTCCAGCTTTTTGCTAGTGAATTGGAGATAAAAGTCTCACAGACTTTCCTGACCAGATTGGCTTCAAATCATGATCCTCTGATCTCAGCCAGCCACCCTGAGTAGCCAGGATTGCAGGTGTGAGCCACTGGTACCCTGAAAGTTTCTTATAGTAAACTGGAAAAATGCCCATAAATTGCTCTTTATAACGTGAAGCGGCTATGTCTATATTTCTACCCCTGTAAATCTGTCATAATCCTGTAACACACACACACACACACACACACACACACACACAGAGGAATATGGTAGAGGGCTGAATTTGTTCAAAGTACACTGTGTGTAGGTCTGGAACTATCACAATGAAACACCATCATATGACCAATTATTGATGTCAACCTATGCATGGTGAAAGCACCTAATTCATCTCCTTGCTGTGACCCCAAGACAAAGGATCCCAGAGAGGAGGAGCTATGTTCAAATGTGAATCATACTCCTCTGCTTAAACCCGAAGGTCATGACAGTGGTTTAAAAGCTCCTACCCTCCAATGCCGTCCATCTTCTACCAGCTCTCCAATTAACCTCTCGAGTGTGGTTGAAACACATATCATTCAAACCAAGATACCTCCCATCACGAAAAGAGGCACTATTAAAATTATACCACATGCTGATGCCAATAGCTCACGCCTGTAATCCTAGCTACTCAGAAGGCTGAGATCTGAGGATCGTGGTTCAAAGCCAGCCTGGGCAGTAAAGTCCCCATAAGACTCTTATCTCCAATTAACCACTCAAACACTGGAAGTGACACTGTGGCTCAAAATGGTAGAGCACTAGCCTTGGGCCAAAGAGCTCAGGGACAGCACCCAGGCCCTGAGTTCAAGCCCCACGACCACCACCACCACCACCAACAACAACAATAACAACAAAGTAGGAAAGAAGTTTGGTCTCTAGGATTGAAGGAGGAGGAAGAAAAAGAAAAAGGAGGAAGACGCTTTGTTTGGGCTCAAGGTTTCAAAGGTTTTAGCCCGTGGTTAAAAACAACACTGGGGACCTGTGTTGAAGTTCTGGGACTTGTGTGGAGCGCTGGACACAGAGTAAAGCTGCTCACCTCCTGCCTACCAGAGAGCTGAGAGGAAGAAAGGGCGGAGCGTCAGATCTCCTTCCAAAGGCCCGCCTCCCCCCAGTGACCTCACTTCCTTCTACTTGGCCCTAGCTCTTAAAAGGTTCTCCCTGCTCTCAATCATTATATGAGCTTTGGACCAAGCCTTTCACAGATCAGCCTTTTGGTGGACCCAACTTAGCATTGCCACCTTCCCCTAAGCCAGCCAGCAAACCACGGCCTAGTCTCTAACTGTATTATATTCCTTTTTTTTTTTGAGGGTGGGGGAGAGCTGAGAATCAAACCTGGGTCTTTTCAAATGCTAAGCCAAGGACTCTACCACCGAGCTACACCCTAACTCCCCCAAGGCCTAGTTAACTTTTTCTCACCCTGTAGAAATTAGCACCAAACGAACATCTTTCTCCACCTAGGTATTTGTGCAGGGTCTGTCTCCCGGTAGCTTTAGGAGTCTCTGAGTCTCTCATGTGAAGAAGACTGTTTGTAGGATATCTACCCTGGTGTATTCTGAGCACAGACAACAATTCCTAGCATACAGTAGCTGCTAAATAAATCTTCGAAAGAGTGGGTGGAGAAAGAGAGAGCGAGAGAGAAATGATTTCTTTATGGGTTGCTTAGACACTCACTACTTCCTAGGTAGGTGGCCGTCCATCTTCTCAAGTGGCTTTTGATCAGGACCAAAGTGCCAGCCAGGTAAGCTCTAGTGACAGACCCTGCACCCAGCCAGTCCTCTGTCCTGATCATCCTGTGATTGGCTAGCCAGCCTCCATTATGAGGTAACTCTGGCTTCGTCCATGTCCGGAGTCACTGAGCCTGAGGTGTACTTGTTTTCTCCCAGTCAAGACTGGTCTCAACTGGCACACGGTCACCCAGGGGAGTCCTGGCAGGGGTCTAAGCCATTGCAAAAGGGGAATCCGGGGGTGACCTTGAGATGAGACTGTCCTGAGCGTTGAGAGAGAGCCAGGTGAACTTCTTACCACCAGCTTGGCCTGCCCATCTCCCCCTCCCCACTCCCCCTCCCCCCCATCACATTGATTGGGCTTCAGCCAGACAGGCCCCAGATACCCTCAGAGAGCAGAAGCCAGGATCGTAGCATCTCAGGATGGGTACTGATGGTCTCCTCCACACCGAATGTATTTATTCTGGATTGTTCTAGCTGCCCCGCTGCCCTTTGGCCCCCTGAAGAAGAAATCATGCTGAAGAAATCACTGCTGGAGAATGAACACCGTGATGGCTTGAACCCAGACTGTGGATCTCAGAGCCCCTTGGAAAGCAGCAGCAGCAGCAATAATGACACCCCGGACAATGTGGCTCCCCCAGAGGACACAGATATGCTATCGTAAGTGGCACCCAGATCCTCTGGTACCCTGCCGTGTGTGTGTGGGGGTACTCACTGATGCAAGAGGAATCTTCAAAGCCCAGTGGCTGGGGTGGGTGGTTCACACCTGTCATCATCCCAGCTACTCAGGAGGCTGAGATCTTGAGGATCGTGGTTCGAGGCCAGCCCAGGCAGGAAAGTTCATTGAGACTCTAATCACCCGATGAATTAAAACAACTTTCCTTCTTCTCATAGTATCCTTCTGCCTCTCCACCACAGGCTGATGCAAACCTTGATCCATTTATTGAAAAGTAATATTGGCACAGGGCTCCTGGGCCTTCCTTTGGCCATGAAAAATGCCGGCTTGTTGGTAAGAGACCTCTGTTGGCTTATTTGGGGCGGGTGGTGGGAGGAAAAGGGGGTGACCGGTCTCTAAGGCCTTTGCACTCTTGTGGATCAGATCAGGAGTTGGGATGGGGTGTTCTACAATGAGAAATATGCCCACTAGGTGCCAGTGGCACGCCTGTTATCCTAGCTACACAGGAGGCTGAGATCTGAGGATCGGGGTTCGAAGCCAGCCCAGGCAGGAAAGTCAGTGAAACTGTTACCTCCAATAACCTTTTACATAGCCCAAGCGGAGCTTGTGGCTGAATGGTTAGAGTGCTAACCTTGAGCAAAAAATGCTCAGGGACAGAGCGCAGGCCATGAGTTCAAACCCTAGTATCATCACACACACACACACACACACACACACACGTCTGTCAATCACCTGCAGCCAATCAGCATCTGGGGCGGGGGCGGGTCTTTCCTCATAAAGCCTCCCTGCACAACCAATGGGAATTCACAGCTCCAGGGTTCTGTCTCACCCCTCCTCATTCATTCCCAGCAGCCCCAGTAACCCCATGGTATGAGAGCAAGTGACTAAGAAGCCAAGCAATCCCAGCTACTGTCCGCCCCCTCCTACCCCCACGCCCCCCCCTCAGGCAGGAGCATCGTAAGTTCAAGGACAGCCTTGGTAAAGTTAGTGAGACCCTAGCCCAGTAACATATATCCAAAGAAAGCCAACCTACCTGATGGCTCACGCCTGTAATCCTAGCTACTCAGGAGGCTGAGATCTGAGGATGGTGGTTTGGAATTAGTCCAGGCAGACAAAATCTGATCTCCAATTAGCTGAGGGGGGGGGGAGCTAAACGTGCAGATGTGGTTCAAATGGTAGAGTGTCAGCCTTGAGCACAAAAAAGAAACCCCCCAAAACAAGCAAGAGCAGTATAAGGTCCTGAGTTCAAACTCCAGTACTGGCACAAGAAAGAAAGATGAAAGAGAGAGAGGTGTGTGGGAGAGAGAAAGAGAGAGAGAGAGAGAGGTGGGAGATGGGGGGAGAAGGAAAGGAGGTAGGGAGGGAAAGGAAGGAAAGAAGGAAGGAAGGAAATAAGGAAGGAACTAAGGAAGGAAAAGAGAAAGAAAGGAGAGAGAGAGAAAGGAAAGGGACAGGGAAAGGGACAAAGGGAAAGCAAATGGGTAGGGCAGAAGCTCTGGGCATGCGCGCTCTGGGCAGTGCTAGGGCAGAGCGGGCACGTGCTAAGTCTGTGGGTCACGCCCTAGCTCTCTACTCCTCCTCTCTCCAGGTGGGGCCCATCAGCCTGCTGGCCATCGGGGTCCTCACAGTGCACTGCATGGTCATCCTGCTGAACTGCACTCACCACGTCACCCAGAGGTCAGAGTCCTGCCTCTCTATCACCAATGGCCATCAGCGATGGGAGGGCTGTGAGCGTTTTTCTTGGCCATTGACCCAATGAACAGGGGCTGATTGTCCAGGCCTCCAGCCCTACGGCTGCCCTGGATCTCACAGTGGGGAGCGGTTAGAAAGAATCCCAAGACTTTTCGTGCAGACCCAACTGCAGAGAGCCAGCTAGGAGATCGAGTTAGGCCCCTTGCATTCTCTGAGCCTAACACAACATCTGGTGACTCACACTGATAATCCCAGCCACTCGGGAGGCTGAGATCTGAAGATTGCAGTTCAAAACCAGCCCAGGCAGGAAAGTCCAGGAGACTATTATCTCCAGGAAACCACAAGTGGCGCTGTGGTTCAAGCGGTAGAGCGCTAGCCTTGAGCACAAAAGCTCAGGGACAGCACCCAGATCCTGAGCTTAAGCCCCACCACTGACAAAAAGAAAAAGTCACAAAACACTTGCTGTTAACACACAAATATATGACAACTCAATGGTTCCGGCAGAGATTAACCAAAATGTCTTATGGTGCAACTTGTTTCTCCTATCTCCCTAGATTGCAGAAGACCTTTGTGAACTACGGAGAGGCCATGATGTACAGCCTGGAATCCTGTCCCAGCCCGTGGCTCAGGACCCACTCCATGTGGGGAAGGTAGGGGTCATAGATGCATCTGTCACCATGACAACAGCAATAATCCTCACGCTCCTTCCCAGAAATTCTCAAACAGCATAGGGACTCCTTCAACAAGCCCCATTTCCCAACCAATGGTTCCCCAAGAGGTAACCGTTCCTGGGTGCTGATGGCTCATGCCTATAATTCCAGCTACTGAGCATCTGCGGATCAAGGTTCGAAGCCAGCCTAGTAGACAAATCAGAGAGACTTTGATCTCCAAGTAACCAACAAAGAACTAGCTGGAAACAGAGCTCAAGTGGCAGAATGCCAGCTTTGAGTGAAAAAGCAGAGACAGTGCCCAGCTCTGAGTTCAAGCACTAGGACCTGCATACACACACACACACACACACACACACACACACACACACACACACACACACACAATCACTGAAGTCTAATGAGTAAATATTACTTTAGATTTTTTCATTCTCTACTTATATATCAATATATGTATGCAGATGAGCATGTAATTTGCTTTATATTTTCTTTTCTTTTTTTCTTTTTTTTGGGGGGAGGGGGGAAGGGGTGTGGTCCCGGGTCTTGAACTCAGGGCCTGGGCATTGTTCTTGGGCTATATTTCTCAAGGCTAGCACTCTACACTTTAACCAAAGCTCCACTTCCAGGTTTTTGGTGATTAATTGGAGATAAGAGTCTCACTGACTCTCTTGCCCTGGCTGGCTTTGAACCACAATCCTCAGATATCAGCCTCCTGAATAGCTAGGAAGACAGGTGTAAGCCACTGGCACCTGATCCTTTATATTTTCTTATACATTACTTTCTCAATGTGGATGTATGACATAGCACTTGATCATTTCCTACATGGTGAATGCCAAGCTTGTTTCTTTGCTTGATAAAAAGTTAATAGAGGTGAGAAAATTCAATTATATTCAATGTACAGTATGTAAAACCTGAACTATGTAACTTCAGGGAGAATGAAGGAAAGGGTGACATTGATCAAAGTGTATTATACTCAGAACCTGACAGGATGATGATGATGATGATGATGATGGTGATGATGATGATGATGATGATGATGATGATGATGATGATGATGATGATGATAGAGCTGAGCAATGGTAGGTCATGCCTGGAATCTTAGCTACTCAGGAGGCTGAGATTTGAGAGTCAAGGTTTCAAAGTCAGCCAAAAAGCCAGAAGTGGAGCTGTGGACCAAGTGGTAGAGCACCAGCCTAAAGCAAAAGAACTCCCAAGAGCCAAGTACTGGTGGCTCACGCCTGTAATCCTAACTACTCAGAAGCTAAGATTTGAGGATCCAGGTTCAAAGCCAGCCCAAGCAGGAAAGTCCATGAGACTCTTATCTCCAGTGAACCACCAGAAAACTGGAAGTGGTGCTGTGGCTCAAAGTGGTAGAGCATTAGCCTTGAGTAAAACATGCTCAATGACAGCACCCAGGACCTGAGTTCAAGCCCCAGGACTGACAAAAGAAAAGTGCTGGACTGGGAAGGTGGCTCAGTGGTAGAGTGCTTGCCTTGCATGCATGAGGCCCTGGGTTCAATTCCTCAGCACCACATAAGCAGAAAAAGCCGGAAGTGGTGCTGTGACTCAAGTGGTAGAGCGCTAGCCTTAATCTGAAGAGCTGAGGGACAGCACCCAGGCCGAGTTCAGGCCCCATGACTGATAGGAAAAAAATGTGCCCAACTCAGAACTGGCAATAATAATAATAATAATACAATATTGCTAGTATGCAAATGAGTTTATGCCTTAGAACCTCTGATCCTTTCTACATTCCTTCACAGCCCTTCTACAGCTCCTTTTCTGGGACTCTATCAATTATTGATTTTCCAGTCAGCAGCCCCTGTGATTATCAGACAAATGAGGTCATAATCAGTTTCCTATGACACTGGTAAGGAACTATCTAGGGCAGGAGTGGCCTTAGAGATCCACGCATCCACGTTCATCAGAATGCAGAATAATGGCCTTTGATACCACAGGAATTCAGTGGCCAAGCCAGGACTGGAATCCAAAATATCTCCCTTCCACCATGCCATTTCTTTGGAGATCCAGCAACTGAGGAGTTAGAAACACTTGGGAAAGCATACTCAATATATCCAATTAATTAATGTATCCAATGAATTGTCATTTTTACCACACTAAGAGACTGTAGAGAGTTCGATTACAAATTTCCCAGGCTGGGCACCAGGGGCTCACACCTGTAACCCTAGCTACTCAGGAGACTGAGATCTGAGGATTGCTGGTTCAAAGCCACCTCGGGCATATCAATAGCTGTATGCAGATGAGCATATGTAATTTGCTTATATAAGAGTGTGTAGGAAGTGGCGCTGTAGCTCAAGTGGTAGAGTGCTCGCCTTGAGCTGAAGAGCTGAGGGACAGCGCCCAGGCCCAGAGTTCAAGCCCCACAACCGACAAAAAAAAAAAAAAAAAAAAATAAGAGTGTGTAAGACTCTTATCACCAATGAACCAGCAAAAAGTTGGAAGTCATGGCTCAAGTAGTAGATCCCTAGCCAAAAACTAAAAAAGCTCAAGGACAGTGCCCAGGCCCTAAGTTCAAGCCGCAAGACCAACACAAGAAATACACATATAAATAAAATATAATATTGAGGTTTGTTTTCTCCCTGTCTCTTACCTCTTCTTTCCCAGGTACACAGTCAGCTTTATGTTAATTGTCACACAGCTGGGCTTCTGCAGCGTTTATTTTATGTTCATGGCAGACAATTTACAACAGGTAAAGAGGCCTCTTCTGGATAGATAGGGGTAAAGCAGAGCAGGGTCCCAGCTAGGGTCCAATTAGCAAAGGCATAGCATTTGAATCGTGGGAGGGGGTGTGGCTTTGTTTGTTTCTACTGCCAGAGTAGATCCCAGAATCCTTCAATCACATTCAAAATGGACCATTAAAAAGTTAGAGCAAGGGCTGGGAAGGTGGCTCAGTGGTAGAGCGCTTGCCTTGCATACCTGAGGCCCTGGGTTCGATTCCTCAGTACCATATAAGCAAAAAGAAAAAAGCTGGAAGTGGCACTGTGGCTCAAGTGGTAGAGTGCTAGCCTTGAGCTGAAGAGCTGAGGGACAGGGCCCAGGCCCAGAGTTCAGGCCCCACGACCGGACCCCAAAAAAAAGAAAAACCAAAAAGTTAGACTAAGGTGCTGGAAATGTGGCTTAGTGGTCGAGAGCTTGCCTAGCATGCATAAAGCCCTGGGTTCGATTCCTCAATACCACATACACAGAAAAAGCTGGAAGTGGCACTGTGGCTCAAGTGGTAGAGTGCTAGCCTTGAGCAAAAAGAAGCTTAGAGACAGTGCCCAGGCCCTGAGTTCAAGCCCCAGGACAGGCAAAATAAAATAAAATAAAATAAGATATAAAGACCATTAAAAAATATTTGAATTAAAACAATTTTAATGTATAATTAATTTAAATAAGATTTGTTATTTTAATTATGAATCATTCAAATTAATTGTTGGAATTACTTCTGGGCCATTCATTGGGATTGCAGCGGAAGCAGGCACCCAGTGCTATTAGCGACTTTGCATCTCATTACTCTCCGTAGATTGTGGAGGAAGCTCCCACCACCTCCAACACATGCCAACCCAGACAGATCCTGGTGCTGGGCCCCATCCTGGACATTCGCTTCTACATGCTGTCCATCCTGCCTTTCCTGGTGCTGATGGTGCTCATTCAGAACCTCAGGGTGCTGTCCATCTTCTCCACGCTGGCCAGCGTCACCACCCTGGGAAGCATGGCTCTGATCTTTGAGTATATCATCCAGGTCTGTGGCTCCTGATTGGGTTGGTGGAAGAGAGGGCGGTGAGGGGGACAGGGCCTCTGGGACCCCAGAAGAGGAAGATGAACACCTGCTCTGAGCAGGCCCTGCAAGATGACATCTAGAAACAACAACAACAAAAGCTCTTTATCACCAGGCATTGGTGGCTGACGCCTTTCATCCTAGCTACTCAGGAGGCTGAGATCTGAAGATTGCATGCAGTTCAAAGCCAGCCCTGACAAGAATAGTCTGTGAGACTCTTATTTCCCATCAACCACCAAAAGGCTGGAAGTGGAGCTGTGGCTCAAGTGGTAGAGCACCAGCTTTGAGAGGGGGGGGAACTAAGGGAGAGTGTCCTAGGCCCTTAGTTCAAATCCCAGTACACACACACACACACACACACACACACACACAAGCTATTCATCATTATCAACATCTTTCTCATCACCACCACCACTGGGTTGAGTCACAGTGACTCATTCAGTAATTCAGAATTCCTTCTGTGTTTTGAGACCTTGTGCAAAGGGCTGGAGATTTACTGACAACATTCATGTATGCATATAAATGGGATGTCCACTCTCCCGCAGGCTGCAATCAGCCAAGGACATTAAGGCTGATTCAGTAACCCACAAACATGGTAGCAATGGTAAGACGCGTGCATAGATGATGAAGCCGAAGACGAATTGGAGCTAATTAATGCCACGTCTTTAACTTACAGAGCCTTCGCCACTGTCCTGTTTTGGGAGAACTATCTTTTTTTTTTCTTTTCTTTTCTCTTTTGGCTAGTCTTGGGGCTTGAACTCAGGGCCTGGGCACTGTCCCTGAGCTTCTTTTGCTCAAGGCTAGCACTCTACCACTTGAGCCACAGCACCACCACTACTGTTTTCTGTGTATGCGGTACTGAGGAATCAAACCCAGGGCTTCATGCATGCTAGGCAAGTGCCTTACCACTAAGCTACATTCCCAGCCCTGCAAGAACTATCTTGACTGCCAGTTTATAGATAAGAAATTGTTCACCAGAGAGTCCGTTTTTTTGTGTGGTTTTTGGTTTTGTTTTTTTGTTCTTTTAAATAATTTCACTCACTTTGTCTCCCTAGCTCCTATTCTGGTGCCTAGCTATCACAACAATTTAAAAAACAAATGTAAAATTAAAAAGTTTAAAAACTAAGGAGTTAGGTGTCACTGGCTCATGCCTGTCATCCTAGCTACTCAGGAGGCTGAGATCTGGGGACCACAGTTCAAAGCCAGCTCAGGCAGGAAAGTCCATGAGACTCTTATCTCCAATGAAATTAAAAAAAAATCCAGAAGAGGAGCTGTGACTCAAGTGGCAGGTACCAGCCTTGAGCATAGAAGCTCAGGGGCAGTGCCCAGGCCCTGCCTGGCACAAAATAAATGTTAGCTGGGGCACCCATGGCTCATGCCTGTAATCTTAGCTACTTAGGAGGCTGAGATCTGAGGATCACGGTTCAAAGCCAGCCAGGGCAGGAAAGTCTATGAGACTCATCTCTTAATGAACCACCAGAAAACCAGAAGTGGTGTTGTGGCTCTAGTGGTAGAGCACTTGCCTTGAGCTGAAGAGCTGAGGGACAGCGCCCAGGCCCAGAGTCAAGCCCACAACTGACATAGATAGATAGATAGATAGATAGATAGATAGATAGATAGATAGATAGATAGATAGATAGATAGATAGATAGAGTTAATTAATTTTTAAAAAAACTAAGAAGGAGCCTTAAGGTGCTCTAAACACTGTGGAGGCCTGGTGGGGTTTGGTATGACCTCAACATGTGACCTTCCTCTGCTTCTTCCAGGGAATCCCCCATCCTGGGAACCTACCGCTGGTGGCCAACTGGAAGACCTTCTTGCTATTCTTCGGGGCAGCCATCTTCGCCTTTGAAGGCGTGGGCATGGTGAGCTGAGGGGTACCAGTGGGCAGTGCTGTGGGGAGCTGGTTGTGATTTTCTCTTTTTTCTTTTTGTTTGTTTTTGCCAGTCCTGGAGCTTGAACTCAGGGCCTGGGCACTGTCCCTGAGCTTCTTTTGCTCAAGGCTAGCACTCTATCACTTGAGCCACAGCGCCACCTCTGGCGTTTTCTGTGTATGTGGTGCTGAGGAATCAAACCCAGGGCTTCATGCATGCTAGGCAACTGGTCTACCACTGAGCCACATTCCCAGCCCTGGTTGTGATTTTCAATGTCTACATTGTAATCTTCCTTCCTTCCTTCCTTCCTTCCTTCCTTCCTTCCTTCCTTCCTCCCTCCCTCCCTCCCTCCCTCCCCCCCCTCTCTCATATTCTCCCCCTCCAGGTACTACCTCTCAAAAACCAGATGAAGAACCCACAGAAGTTTTCCTTCGTTCTCTACCTGGGGATGTCCCTTGTCATCTCCCTCTACATCTGCCTGGGGACACTAGGCTATATGAAGTTTGGGTCGGACACAAGAGCCAGCATCACCCTCAACTTACCCAACTGCTGGTATGTCCCTGTCCGCCTGGGGGCGGGGGTGGGAGGGGAGCGGTGGGGGAGAGGGAGGGAGAGGACCTGAGAATTGAACCTTAGCAGCACAGCAAACATATCCTACCGTTGCCATTGGCAACCAATATTCAGCAGGAGGGTTAGGATTCACTATAATAGATGGATGGCATATTATAGACAAGGTCTCTTTGATAATCCAGGCCCTGTGTACTATCTCATTTAATTGTTTTAACCAGAAGCCAAAAGAGTTAGCAATGGTTTTTCTGTTCAAGTCCTGGGGCTTGAACTCAGGGCCTGGGCGCTGTCCCTGAGCTTCTTCTTACTCAAGGCGAGCACTCTACCACTTGAGCCACAGTGTCACTTCTGGCTTCTTCTGTGTATGTGGTACTGAGGAATGGAACCCAGGGCTTCATGCATGCTAGGCAAGCACTCTACCACAGAGCCACCTTCCCACTGAGCCCGTCTGGCTCTTCCAGGAAGCATTTTGAGGCTGACACGAAATGCGCATGGCCAGTGCCAGCTGCTCTGGCCAGAGCTGTACTAGTATGGAGCAATTGGGACACCAGTTAGGCAAGCATGCATGGTGCAGGATCGAAGCTAAAGAGCTTTGCATCCGAGCTCTTCTCTGACTTGAGACGCGTCTCCTCACATCCAACTGTGTACAATGAGGAATGATCCTAACCTGTTTGCAGCAGTCAGGAGAAGCTACATTACAGTCCAGTAATAAGTAATCCCAAATGGAGAGGCCTGAGACTCACCCCTGTCATCCCAACTATCAGGAGGCTGAGACCTGAGGATCGAGGTTCAAAGCCAAACCGGGCAGGAAAGTCCATGAGACACTTCTGCCTAATGAATCACCAAAAAGCCGGAAGTGGAGTTGTGGCTCAAGTGGTAAAGCGCTACCCTTGAGATAAAGAGCTCAGGGACAGCATTCAGGCCCTGAGTTCAAGACCCTGGACTGGCACCGAATAAAAAAGCAATCCTAATCCCAAAGCTACACCTAATTGCTTACATCTCCACTCATACCTTCTTCCATGAGGCATGAGCAGAGCTCAGAGTGACCGGGCAGCCCCTCCAGGCGGCTCAGTGAGTCACAGCCTTCCATAGCAACTGGCAAAGCTTCAGTCTGCCTCCTCCAGAGTGCCCAGAGCAAGGCCAAGCCCGAAGCCCGAGAGCCCACCGCAGTCTCCGGAAACGTGGTGGACTGCATTGCTTTAATAATATACAAAAACAGCTGGGCACCAGTGGCTCACGCCTGTAACCCCAGCTACTCAAGAGGCTGAGATCTGAGGATTGCGGTTCAAAGCCAGCCCAGGCAGGCAAGTCCATGAGACACTTCTCTCCAATGAATCGCCAAAAAGCCGGAAGTAGAATTGTGGCAGAAGTGGTAGGGACCAGCCTTGAGCACAAAAGCTAAGGGATAGTGTCCAAGCCCTGAGGTTCAAGCCTCAGGACCAGCACAATATATAAGCACCTTAAATATATATATATAATATACAAATATTACATATATTAGCTGTTTTATATATTTTAATATATTTATATTTATATATTTTTATATATACGTTTTATATATATGTTTGATATATAATAGGGCATAATATGTAATGTTATAATTATATAATATAATTATAACTCATATCATACAATATCTAACTATATATTGATATATAACATATATTATTTATATAATTTGTATTTATACTATATGTGTATATTACATGTATAATATATATACATGTATATAACATATACACATATTAGAGGTATAATATAACATAATACAGTTATGATAATATATGTTGTTATTATTATATGTTATGATAAATTTAAATTTATATAATGTTATATTAAAATTCATATATAAATATATACTATAATTATATAATTGCATATTTTTGTACATAATATTTTGGGCTTTTGGTGTGTTTTTTGTTGGTGGTGGTGGTCGTGGGGCTTGAACTCTGGGCCTGGGCGCTGTCCCTCAGCTCTTTAGCTTGAGGCTAGCACTCTACCACTTGAGCCATAGCAGCACTTCCAGCTTTTTTCTGCTTATGTGATACAGAGGAATCGAACCCAGGGCCTCAGGCATGCAAGGCAAGCACTCTACCACTGAGCCACCTTCCTTCCCAGCCCCCTGGATATAATAGTTTATATGTAAGTGCTTAGGAAGTCAGTCCCCAGGGAGCGTTGGCTGTCCCCGCAGCCTGGGGCTTGCGAGTGAATGCAGCGTTCACTTGGTAAAACTGCAGTGCTATAAAACTAGCCAGATCTTCCCAGCCTCACCCGCCTCCACTATGCCCTGGAAATGACCAGCTGACATCAAGGATGTGGAATGTTTTTGAAGTTGTGCCTTATTTTACACAAGTCAGGTGTCAGCCAGCTATGTTAGTAAATGAGCTTCCGCTTGGCCTCCTTGAAAGAGCCCGCTCCTTCTTGGCATCTAGCCAGAAATCCTAAGTACCAAGCGGGATCAATTTGCCCCTACTAGGGGGATCCTACTCATCATAAATTTCCACAAAGAAACCCTAAAAAAAAATAATAATTATCCCTTCCCAATAATACCACCAGGCTAGATGCAGTGTGTCCTGCCTGTAATCCCACCACTTGGGAGGCAGACATTGGGAGGATCGTGGTTGGAGGCCAGCCCGGGCAAAAAGTTTGTGGGACACCATCTCAACCAGTAAGTTGGGTGTGGTAGTGAACGCCTGTCCTCTCAACTCCATAGGGGTATAGGCAGAAAGAACACAATCTGAGACCAATCCTGGGGGGCGGGGGTGGATGGGGAGGGAGGAACAGCAAGACCTTCTCTGGAAGAAATGTATCTAAGGCAAAAGAATGAGGCAGTGTGGCTCAAGGGTTAGAAGACCTGCCCAGCAAGTGTGAGGCTGAATTCAGACATGAATACTGCCAGGCGCCGGTGGCTCAGGCCTGTCATCCTAGCTACTCAGGAGGCTGAGATCTGAGGATCGTGGTTCAAAGCCAGCCTGGGCAGGAAAAATCCATGAGCTCCAATAAACCACCAGAAAACTGGAAGTGGCGCTGTGGCTCAAGTAGTAGAGCGCTAGCCTTGAGCTGAAGAGCTGAGGGACAGCGCCCAGGGCCAGAGTTCAAGCCCCACGACCAATACACACACACACACACACAAAAACAAAGTCTCATCAACTTTCCTACCCAGGTTAGTTTTGAACCACGATCCTCAGCTCTCAGCCTCCTGAGTAGCTAGGACGACAGGCGTGCCCTACCAGTGCCTGGCTACATTTACGACTTTTGTCCTGTGAAAGTGATCTATGCAGGTAAGACCTTTAAAACAAAAAAACAAACTGAAAGAAGAAAAAGGCCAAATGGACTTCCAGACCTCTCATCCTGTCACTTTAGAATGAGGCGCCGCAGGCTTCAGGCCCCAGAGTCCCTGCGGCCTCGTTGGTCAGGGAGCTGGAACCCCAAGACAGGACCAGCTTCTGCACAGCACCTCCAGAGCCTCTCCCTGTCCACCCGCAGGCTCTACCAGTCGGTGAAGCTGATGTATTCCGTGGGGATTTTCTTCACCTATGTGCTGCAGTTTCATGTTCCAGCCGAGATCATCATCCCCTTCGCCCTGTCCCACGTGTCCGAGAGCTGGGCGCTGTTTGTAGACCTGACGGTCCGCACTGCCCTGGTGTGCCTCACCTGTAAGTTAGCAAGAAGTTGCTCTTTGCCCAGTACCAATGCAGGAAGCCACTCACGGAAGGGGGGAGGGCAGGGGGGAGGACCTACCCCAGCCCTATCATTTTTCAATCAACTATTCTACTCAGGGAGGAATGAGATTTGAGGATGGAGGTTGGAAGCCAGCTTGGGTGTTAAAAGTCTATTTTTTTTTTGTGGCCAGTCCTGGGACTTGAACTCAGGGCCTGAGCACTGTCCCTGAGCTGCTTTTGCTCAAGGCTAGCACTTAAAACCACAGCACCACTTCTGGCTTTTTCTGGGTATGTGGGACTGAGGAATGGAACCCAGGGCTTCATGCATGCTAGGCAACTGGTCTACCACTGAGCCGCCTTCCTGGCCCCTTAAAGAGTCTTTGGAAAAAGGAACAATGGAAATGACTGTGTTATTCAGAGGCACACCAGTTCTTATAAGTCGGGTGGAGAAAGGAAGTTGAGACTCTCTTTGGTCTCTGGGAAAGCCAGAAGAGGAAATGATGACAGCATCATCAGGTCATTATTCAACAATGTTGTCACCGGGAATAAAGATCTGCTAGAGTCTGCCTTCAGAGGCCTCATTGTAGCTGCCGCCGCCATCAAGTCTACCCAGCCTAACCCGGTGTGCCATGCCAAGAACGGGCAGGTGGTTGGCATGGGAACAGTCTCAGAAACACTGTTCACGCCTTGTACGGGAGAAGGCAAACTATTAATGGTTTAGCCACAATCTACATGAGCTTTCCATGATGTTTAAACCTGGAGTTGAAGAGAGCAGAAATCTCCAGTGCCATCCATCCATATGCCTCGGACTCTAGTTTTGATTTGGGTTTTGGTTTCATCGTGGGGCTTGAACTCTGGGCCTGGGTGCTGTCCCTCAGCTCTTCAGCTCAAGGCGAGCACTCTACCACTTGAGCCACAGCATCACTTCTGGTTTGCTGGTGGTTCATTGGCAATAAGAGTCTCATGGACTTTCCTGCCCAGGCTGGCTTTGAACTGCGATCCTCAGATCTCAGCCTCCTTTCTTTCTTCGTGCCAGAAGCATTCAATGATTTTCCTTCTCCTCCTCCCCCGCAGGCGTGCTGGCCGTGCTCATCCCCCGGCTGGACCTGGTCATCTCTCTGGTGGGCTCGGTGAGCAGCAGCGCCCTGGCCCTCATCATACCCCCGCTGCTGGAGATCACCACCTTCTACTCTGAGGATATCAGCTTTGTCACCATTGCTAAAGACGTCCTGATCAGCATCCTGGGCCTGTTAGGGTGTATATTTGGGACCTACCAAGCCCTCTACGAGCTGACCCAACACAACTTCTATTCCAGAGTCAACTTTACTGGTGGCATCCATGTATAATGATCTATTTATATGCTACTAGACCCCCCTGTCCCCGCCCATCCTCCCCATGCATTTCCATTTGGATGCTATATATACATATATATATATATACATTCATCATACTCCAACATCTATTTTATTTTTTTCATTTTTGCCAGTCCTGAGGCTTGAACTCAGGGCCTGGGCACTGTCCCTGAGCTTGTTTTGCTCAAGGCTCTACCATTTGAGCCACAGCGCCATTTCTGGCTTCTTCTGTGTATGTGGTGCTAAGGAATCAAACCCAGGGCTCCATGCATGCTAGGCAAGCCCTCTACCACTAAGCCACCTTTCCAGCCCCATCTCTCTATTCATAAATACTTCCCTGGGGCTGGGAAGGTAGCTCAGTGGTAGAGCGCTTGCCTTGCATGCATGAGGCCCTGGGTTCGATTCCTCAGCACCACATAAGCAAAAAGGAAAAAAAGCTGGAAATGGCCCTGTGGCTCAAGTGGTAGAGTGCTAGACTTGAGCTGAAGAGCTGAGGGACAACGCCCAGGCCCAGAGTTCAGGCCCCACGACCGGACCCAAAATAAATAAATAAATAAATACTTCCTTTATCTTTCCCAAGGGGCCCCTCAAGTTTTTGTTTTTGTTTTTTTTTTTTTTTGATGTTTTAGTTATTGTTGGCATTGGTCCCGGGGCTTAAACTCAGGACCTGGGTGCTGTACCTGAGCTCTTTTGCTCAAGGCCAGTGCTCTAGCCCTTGAGTCACAGGGCCACTTCTGGTTTTCTGGTGGTTCATTGGAGATAAGTCTCACAGGACTTTTTTTTTTGGCCTGGGTGGGCTTTGCACCACAATCCTCAGACCTTAGCCTCCTGAGTAGCTAGGATGACAGGTGTGAGCCACCGGTGCCCGTCTACCTTTTTGGATTTTAGATCTCTTTTGTATCTCTATATGAAAATCTTCAGTCATTCATGACATAAACTTCACATAGTAGAAAGAGAGGGTGCTGCTGATCATAGTATCCCAGGCAGGGGATACCTGTGAATCTGTTTTCTCTATGGCAGGTGCTGACGTAGCTATACTCACCACATTTAGGAAAAGTCTTTATTGGTTCACATCTATAATCCTGGCTACCCAGGAAGCTGAGATCTGAGGATCGTGGTTCAAAGCCAGCCTAGGCAGGAAAGTCTGTGAGATTCCTATCTCCAATTAACTACCAGAAAATCAGAAGTAGCGCTGTGGCTCAAGTGGTAGAGCACTTGTCCTGAGCTGAAGAGCTCAGGGACAGCGCCTTGGCCCAGAGTTCCAGAGTTCAAGCCCCATGATCGACAAAAGCCAAGCAAAAACACAGGGCCCTGAGTTCAAGCCCCAGTGCTGGTACACACACACACACACACACACACACACACACACACACAAGTACATATGAGGGAGAAGGAGGAATTTTCTAAGTGGAAGAATCACAGGCATACAGGTAGAAAAGTTAAGTCCAGCCACTGGCCTGTGACTTTTCTAGACGCTCCAGGGCAAAGACCCCCAAGATCTTCCCTCAGTCTTGGTTACTCAGTGAAATGAATGACTAGGCTACTTGTTCATTAAAACCGTTTTCAATACGCTGAAAATTGTTTTAAAAGTGTGATTTGTCTTGCAAACTCGTATAAAAATCATTTTTCAATCAACTACCCATTGCCCTGAAGATATGAGTTGGTAAGAGATAAGTGTATTTCTTCACAGTCTCATTATATATCTGTCTTTAGGTAAAATTCACACTCCTGTTCATTTTCCAAAGACAACCAGTTCTGGTGGCTCATGCCTGTAATCCTAGCTAGTCAAAAGGCTGAGATCTGAGGATTGCAGTTCAAAGCCAGCCCGGGCAGGAATGTCCATGAGACTCTTACCTCCAATGAACCACCAGAAAACTGGAACTGGCGCTGTGGCTCAAGTGGCAGAGCGCTAGCCTTGAGCTGAAGAGCTCAGAAACAGCGACCAGGCCGAGAGTTCGAGCTTCACGACCACCATCGCCACCACCCACAAAAAGATTTCCTGTGTGAATGAGGAGATTCAGGATGAATGAGAACTAAAGATGTCACCGGCTGAAGGACCCAGGAATGTGACACATAGGTTGTTGAAGTCCTGCAGTTACAACGCTGTGGTGATGGCTCCAGAGAAGCAGAGAGAAGGGCAGCGCATGAACAAGAGCAGAGCTCTTCCCATCCCCTGTACCTCTCCCAAGACCTTCCCCCTTCACACAAAGGAGCAGGAGACTCAGCAAGTTAGAAAGATTTATTGCCATGTGAGATCTCAAAAAGGGAGGCCGGTTTGGGAGAGGGGGGGGGTGGCGGACAAATCCAGGAAGCCTGGCATCACATCCATCCTCTAAAGTGGGATCCTCCTTGCACAAAACAGCTGCTGGGGAGCCCTCCCTTCAGCAACCATTCCTTTTTTGTTTTGCCCCCGGGGCTTAGAGGCTGCAGAGCTTGAAGCTCTGAGAAAGCCATCTAAGCTTTCTCTTTGGGGCTGAATGCTATAGATTTGGGGCCTGTGGAGGAAGAATTCATGCCAGAGAAGTTGTACGAGACTAAAACAGACAAAGCCTACCAGAGGTCATAAGCTGGACACCCATGAGCCAGATTTCTTTCCCTTAAGAATTCACACAGCCTTTTTGACCTGCCCTAAGTGTACAAAAAAGTGATCATAGTAATTGCCAATTTTTTTTTAAAAAGCATAAGATTTCATATCAAAAATGTGGAAAATTGGCCTTCCTATAGGAAAAAAAAAATTGTGTTTGAGGACAACTTTGTTATTCTCAAAATGGCAGCCCCTGGGCCTGCTCAAAGCAGGAAGGGACAGACAGACTGGACACAGCCTGAGAAATCACATCCTCAGCTTGACGCTGACCTTGAGCACTGGGCCCAGGGCCCAGGTGACTTTTTATATTTATCTGGGGATAAGGTGAGGGATATTTATCCTGGCCATGAATACCAAGGAGTATTCAGCACAAAAGAGCAAGTGGAGACTGGAGGTCGGAGGCTGGAATCAGGTTCTAGAGGCCCTGACTTGTGTCTCTTTCCTGGTTCTATTGGCACACTTGAATTCGTTTTAAAAAAAAAAAAGTGTCATTCTATAATAAATCTCGGGGCTGGGAAGGTGGCTCAGTGGTAGAGCGCTTGCCTTGCATGCATGAGGCCCTGGTTCAATTCCTCAGCACCACATAAGCAGAAAAAGCCGGAAGTGACTCAAGCGGTAGAGCGCTAGCCTTGAGCTGAAGAACTGAGGGACAGCGCTCAGACCCACAGTTCAAGCCCCACAACTGACGAAAAATAATAATAATATAATATAAATCTCACACAAGAGCCAACACCAGTGTCTAGTCTGTCTCTCCAGGTGCACCTGAGTGGATGTGAGGTAAAATTAGAAAAGAATACAAATTTAATCACACAACGGTTTTTTGCTGGTACTGGGTTTTGAACTCAGGGTCTGGGCGCTGTCCCTGAGCTGCTTTTGCTTGAGACTAGTGCTCTACCACTTGAGCCACAGCACCACGTCTGGTTTTTGGGGGGCTTTTTTGGTAGTTAATTGGAGATAAGAGCTATCTGGACTTTTCCTGCTGGCTTCAAACTGTGATCCTCAGATCTCAGCCTCCCCAGGAGCTAAAGTTCCAGGCATGAGCTTGTTGCTGGTTCATGGGAGAGTCTCGCCAAGTTTTCCTGGTTTTGAACCTTGATCCGCAGATCTCAGCCTCGTGTGGAGCTAAGGACTTACAAGCCTGAGCCACCAGCACTGGGGGGGGGGGGGGGGGGGGGGGGGGGGGGGGGGGTAAATAATACTTTTAAGTGGCTGTGAACAAAGGAACAAAGGGAACAAAGTCACAAGGTATTTTTAGGAAGCCAAGATAGGGATCATGGTGAAGTTCAAATCCCCAACCTTTTGGATTCCTGGTCCTTGACGGTTTGAGAAATAAAAGAAGTTCTTAAGAGAGAAGTACAGGGGCTGGGAAGGTAGCTCAGCGGTAGAGTGCTTGCCTTGCATGCGTGAGGCCCTGGGTTCGATTCCTCAGTACTACTTTTACAGAAAAAATCCGGAAGTGGCGCTGTGGCTCAAGTGGTAGAGTGCTAGCCTTGAGCAAAAGCTCAGGGACAGTGCCCAGGCCCTGAGTTCAAACCCCAGGACTGGCAGAAAAAAGGGAAAGAGAGAGAGAGAAAGAGAGAGAGAGAGAGCGCACAAGTCCATGGTATGAGGGGCCATGGGGGAAAGTGACAGGCAGTTCAGATGTCCCCAGAGGTCCTGAAAAATGCCACACCCTTCCCATGGGCAGGGCCCTGGCCTTGACTGTGGATGTTAACAGGCAGGAAGAGGGAGGGGATACCAAATCGGGGAGCACCCGGTTCAGCACCCCTTCCTTCCTGTGGTGGCGGGCGCCATGTTATTTGCCCCTTAGGGACACGGCGATCTTGATGCAGGCCAGACGCTCCCCTCCGCTGCTCAGGATGCTCTGTACCCGGTAGTTCCCCGTACTGAGCCAGCTGGGCAGCTCCAGGTCGGGCAGCGTGAAATCAGAGGAAGGCAGCGAGTAGGTACCCTGTAGGGAATAAAAATGGGTGTGAGGTCAAGGGGAGAGGGTGGAGGAGAGTCTCCTGAAACCAACCCCGTGGATCTCCAGTGGGTCCTCAGATTCTCTAAGGGCCACAAAGGTGAACGGCCATAGCTAAAGGTCCAAGTTCAACATGCCCATTTTACAGCTGGCTAAGTTGAGGCACATACAGAGATCTATCAGCAGACCCTCTCTCCACACCCTTCCGGCCCTTTGGACTCTCTTAACTACATCTTTCCTAAGTATTTACTCTTTTTTTTGGGGGGTGGTCATGGGGCTTGAACTCTGGGCCTGGGCATTGTAGTCCCTGTGCTCTTCAGCTCAAGCCGAGTGCTCTACCACTTGAGCCACAGCGCCACTTTCGGTTTTCTGATCATTTATTGGAGATGAGTCTCACGGACTTTCCTGCCCAGGTTGGCTCTGAACTGCGATCCTCAGATCTCAACC